TAATCTTTTTTAAACCCCTCCCCCCAATCTTTAACTTGAATTGGGATCTGGTTTTCTATACCAATAAAGTAAACAAGTTTATCTTTAATTAGGATGCCATTGCCAAGTGGGATTGGTAGCAAAAAAATCCCTTTAATTTGTTGGTTGCTTGCTTGAGAAATGACAAGAGCCTATAAGTTGGTTGTGTATTGTTGTCTTTGAGAATATGGGCAACAACTGCAACTGCTGGCTAACTTGTGGGCAGCAAACATGTTTGCATGTTTGAACTTTTTAGCCATGCATGTTTTGCATCTTGGAACAAAACACATGTAGCAACACCCATTATCAGCAAAACTCTTTGCTGTCTTCAACTATTTGATTAGAAAACATCGACACATCACTAACTAGCTTCTGACTAGTTAGCTCAATTTGAGAGGTGCCAAAGCTTGTATGCAAAACCTGTTCTAGGCCCTCCCACCCCACTTAGGAGGATTTAAAGACATGGGTTTTGAAGTCAATCAAATATTATAACTTGTGGTAGAGTTTGTTTCCCTTCAAAGTGGCTTTGATTTCATGATCCATTTTTTAAGATCCTAATCGCATATGAAAAGTAGTAATCACTTTAGTAAAAAAGATAAATCGTCGTCCTTCTCTAGCACAACGCTAATTAGGGCTTTGTTTGGTGCAAGGATTGGTATCTAGTTTAGCTATGTCCCTTAAATTCTCACATTTATAAAGTGGACTTGTTTTCTCTACTATTTCGTTTAAGGAGCTTAGTCTCATCATTGTTAAGTTCATCAAGCATGAGACAACACAACTATTCAGTTGATCATGTGCGGTTAAGTTTCACTTCCCAGACAAGACCTGGATGAGTAGGGCCTTTACGGGCCCTTGCTATCATTCTATTGAGAGATGTTGCTCGAACTTTTTTCATGCACTCAAACTCAAGCTAGATAGATGAGGTTGCTGGTTTAGGACGTAAACAAGAAATAGAGACTTGAGACGGGATAAAAGGTATCAACCACCAGAAAGACTGAGCATCAAGATTTGCTTAGTTTGCCGGTAAATTGGGGCATAACCTAATTTAACTAAACAAGAGGGATTTTGGTTTTTGTTTGGGGAAGGGTTTTGTCCAAGTGAGGAGAATGTGTGGCAAATCTAAACTCATCTTATGTTGCACCTTTTTCATTATATTTTTTATGGATAATTATGTAGGAGGATATATCATATATGTTGATGGGTATGTTGGAGGTTGGTGTTGTGTGATGGAATGGAATGGGACCACTGAAATGGATTGTAATGGATGAGAGAGAGAGAGAGAGAGAGAGAGAGAGATCGCTCTGTGTGTGTGTTTGGAGAAGAGGCAGGCAGATGGGAGAAAGGGAACACTGAGAGACAATTTCGTGCTTCACTTACGACCGTTTTAATTTGTATCCTCTTCCCACAACAGAGATGAGTCTGTCTCTCTGTTGGAGAGAGCCTTGGCTCTCTCTCTCTCTCTCTGCGTCTGTTTCCTGCTCTGCCTCTTTGCCTGCTACCACCAGCCCAAACAAGCAGTGATCGATACTGAGCAAGTAAAACTTTTTCCCTCCTCCCATTTTGAGACACAGTTACTTTACAACAAGAAGCCACGTAACAATATCTTAAGTCAATCATGCACCAACATAAATGTAACTGTTTTGGTATCTCAAATCAACTATGCACTATCACATGATTTAACTTTCTAATATGACACTGCATGATTGTGTTGGTGTATACAATGACAGAGTGACAACTCCGTCGCATGGAAGTCCATCTCTCCTCTTTGAGTGACTCCAAGAGACGGAGAAACTTGAAGAAAGAAAGAATCAGATTTCATTTGTTGGCTTGCATTGTAGAGATTGTATTGCATCCCAGAAACCCATAACCCCTGCCCATGTCAGATTCTCCATGTGTATCGAGCTCAATGAGTTTTTTTGTTTCCTGTAGAGAAAGATGAGACTTGAGAGGTGCGTGTCAAAAGCAACAAAACCAATGGACCAAAATGAGTGAAAACTGCTAGTTAAAATCCAAAAGTTATGCACAGAGTTCCTCAACTGCAACTTTACCGATCAATCATGCATACAAATATATATATATATATATATATGTGTGTGTGTGTATTTTTTCTTACAAAATATAGATTTTTGTCACATTCTTCTGTCACACATTTTGTAATCTTTGATATGAAAAATGAAAAGGATTCACGGGTCATTTTTTAGGTGTATTATTCATGCACGAACGGTAATTTAAACACAAAAATGGTTTTCCTTCCAATTGCCAAAAAACAAACCCATTTCGAATTTAGCATCTTAATTGGGTAGTGTGGTCTCATTCACTCTCACCCAAAATGAAAATTCCACCAGTTTGTATCAACCCAAGTTGTTGTTATAGTGGGGATTTATACTTATATACTTACACTCAATCAAGAATTTCAGAATTTTTGTTACCAAAAAAAAAAAAGAATTTCAGAATTTTGATGGGGCATCAACCACATAAGTGCGCTTTTGGTTACTTAGTGACTAGAAATGTATGACCACTTACTCGTAGTTGTAGATTTGACGTTAAATATGGAGAATAAATAGACGTTTTAATTTTAAACTTTGCAATTTCTCTTCTAATGGTTTGTAGCACTAAGTGGTACAGAAAATGAATGGCGAAGATAAAATATAGAAGATCTAATAGTTGTGGAAATCAATGCTAAGTGCTAAAACAACAAAATAAATAACACTCTGTGCATCTCCAATGCACTGGAAAATTTGGACTCTAAATATTAGTTTAAGGTTCTCCAATGTGTGCACCAAAGACTTAAAACTTATATACAAGTCTTTGGCAAAGTGGAGACCCAAATTTGAGCTTCAATTTGAGAATTGAGTTCAAGGTGAAGCCCATGCCAACTAGGAAAAATGTTATTCAACTAAGAAAAATGAAATTTGAGTTTTGAATTCAACCATCTCCAATACACAACTAAATTGCTAAAACTCAAATATGAGTTTGAGTCCATCGTTTTCTTCTAAAATGCAAATACTCACATATTTAAATTCAAAACAAGGCTTAAAATATGAGTATTTGCATTGGGGAAGAAAACCAAAACACATAAATCCACCACTCTTTGGGATCCAAATTTAAAAATAGAAAATAATAAATGCACACCACTTAGGCTATCACACTCATATTTAATTTTACCGTTGTTTTCGTTTGATTTATTCAATTTAATAGCTAAAAACAAAGAGGGGTGTGAGAAGTTAAAAAATGTGTGTGAAAATAGTATCTCAGTAACCTCTCACTTACAAATGAAGAAGAATACCACTAGAACGTAAAATTAAGTATCAAACGCATCCTTTTAATATTAAATAAAAAGATTAGTGACCACAAAAAAAAAAAGAATAAAAAAAAAAGAACTCAGCTTCACCCATATCATAACAAAATAAATATACAAATTCCAATGCAAGTTTTTGGGGAGAGGATTTTTGCAATGATAGGACTTGTTGGGATTTGACACTAGAAATAAAAAGATTATATTCCTCTTAAAAAAACACGAACAAATTCACAGATTCTCCTCTCACAAGAGCTTTTCCCTTGCCTTTCCGGGAAAATCTGACACGCTTAAATCTCTCTCAAAAACAATGTGCCACTATACTGTAAAGGCCTTGTGTTCTGCATGCTTAATTCTTTTATTTCCAGAAGCCACTGTGTTCCCCATACCACTCTGCACTCATTAATCTACCTTCATTTTGGACCTTAACAACACTTACATCTAAAACTGAACGGATTTTGTCGTCGGCGCGCGAGTGGGCGATTCCTGGCTATTTGACACACTCACGCGTGAGCAACTAATCCAAATATTCTTCAACAGTGAAATGGATGGCACCCGAGAGATTTACTTTACTTTTTCCCTCTTTCTTTTCTTTCTAATACTTGTAGAAGCCTGTCTAGCAAACAATGCACGGGATGATTAAAAGCAGACAGACTGATCAAAGCAATGAAGGCAAGAATTTATTCCAAGGTCCAGATACAAAGAAGAAAATAAATTTTAATTTAACTAATAATATTAATTGATTTAAACAAAAAGAACAGGAAAAAAGAGAATAAACAGCAAACCCATCACAAGAAAGAAAACTTCCAACAAAAAAGAGAACAAAAATAAATAAATAAATCAGAGAGAATAAAAAGGCATTGTCTCCATCAAGGTTTGAACCAGTACATTTCATTTTACCATATTCATACGACAAAGTCCATGCACAAAACGCATGAGATTCCAATACCTTGTAATCGGACCAACATCGCCCAATCGAAGCTTCGCCCGAAAGTAAAATATGATATTTTCATGACGAATAATTCTCAAACAGCCGAAACATATATCTTTGGTTGGCAGCAAACTAGTCTTGGATTAATTTCGGAATCTACGGCTGAGAGAGGTTGTACCTACTTTTCCATGGCAATTTGCCAAAATCCCGCAGATGAGACTGATTTTCATTCAAGAAATTCTCCACTAATTGTAGACAACTTATCTCACCGGGCACCAATTGACATCTATTACATCAGCAATTACTTCAACATATTTTTCGCAGCCAGCGTCTGCGAACAACTATCGCTTTATGACAAACTTGTTTCCCACGGCACTTCTAAAAACAGCAATGTCTAACATCACCCGTTCTAAATGAATTTCCCATGTCTAAACATACATTATCTATTCTAATGTTGAGGAATGAATTGCCTGTAGCTTAGCTACAGTCACAGGTTTGACCCTTGATTTTGCTTTATTTACAGCACTACCATTAAATTAAGGCTGGGTTGGCGTTTGGGCCGGTCACATTTTGTGTAGTGGGTTTAGTTCATTTCTTGATATAAGCCCAACCCTTAGGGAGTGAAAATGACAAGGTTGCCCCATCAAGGGTTAAAATTTGACAGTCAAGATGGTAAGTTAGTAAGGGCAATTTTGTCCTATGGGTTTGGGACGGGTTGGGTGGGTTGGTCGCGTCATTCGGGGAGGGTTTGGGGGATGGGAGCCATGTTGCGTTTGAGAGAGAGAGGGAAAGGGAGGAGTGGGGGAGAAAGAGTTTGATTGCGGGATTGACGGATTGAGGAACTTTTCTGCTTTTCTACTTTTCAAATCTTTACAATTTTTTACGTCAATCGATTCCGTCTTCTTCACTTTACCTTTCATTTTGGTCTTGTCCCTCACAAATCTCTGCTTCTGTCCGTCTTCATTTCACTCTCTTCCTCTCAAATCTTGTGTTCTTTTTTTCACATAATAGTCACGAGCAAATCTGGTTTTGGTTTATTTAGAGATTTTGTTTCCAATCTCCATTTGGTGCCTTGCTTAGATTGGCTCTGCACTCATCATCGACGACTCTACCTTCACGAAGGACTCCGCAAATCCCAAGACCAATAAAGGTAAAGCACGTCCACCTCTCCCTTTCATTCGTTTTCATGGGCGAATGTCAAATGAAGTGACTCTGATGCATGCATGTGTGTATGGTGTATTATGTAAAGGGGTTTCTCAATCTTTTGTCTAGACTGAAGAAAAGGCGGATGGAGCTCTCGAAAATTTTAGATTCGAGAAAAGAGAAAGGTACAGATCTGCACCTCTGTCTATATCGAAGTCCAAATAGGATGGATCTATGAAACTATGAAAGCAAATATGTGAATAACATTTTTTGTGTGAAAGCCTTAAAATGGAGACAAAAAAGGAATGATGGCAAACATGAAGAGGGCTCTGGTGCGAGGATCTGCTGCGGCGGCTTTAAATAATGATAAAGGTCAAATAACTAGATCGTTACTCTTTTTTTTGTAATTATATATGTTTGAACTTTTTCGTTAAATTTTTCGACATAATTTCACTATATATTATGATATCTATTCTATTTGTTGTATAAGATGTGGTCTTAGCAGTGCTGCTCACATTGTCCAGGTGCTTTTAGAAGGTTTTAGTGCACTTCAAGGGATCTCGGGCTCACAAAAATTTCTGATGCACAAGGTGTAGATCACTTGTCATATGCACATACTTGGTAACTTCGACTCCCATGTCATCTTTTTCTTTTTCTTGAATATGTTCTCTGATATCTGTTTAGGTTATTAGATGTCATTTGAAACTACTTTTCAGATAACTCTTAGCCTCCAAATTAAGTTTATCCAATTGCAAGTGAGTAGCTTATTAAAGAAATTTACTAAATCTGGCATGAAACTTGAACAAAGCTACAAGGTCTTTGACTTCATTTGTTGGTTTAATTCGTTTAATGTGCATTCCACATTAGTTCCATTTAGATTATATCAATTACAAATCACATGCGCAGAGGTTTCCTAAGTTGGTAAATGGTTTTACCAATTCTTCTTATTTATAGGTAATAAGTCATTTATTATTGTTATTGGATTTGATTTGATTCCAATGAGTTGCACATGTACATTTTGGATTGGATTCCCTTGCTTTATAGACAATTTCTAAATTTTCTTTTCTATTTCTCTCCTAGTAATGAGGTTTCTAGAATTGTTATAGGGAGAACTGTGTGTTTGCAAAATTATGGTGGACGGAAATGATGGATCTTAATTTTATTCTAATTATCTATGATTAAGCTGATTAAGTGATCAGGCATGTAATTACCTTGATTTCTGCCAATTAGGCTAATGGTGTTCTAAGAATTGGAAAAAAAAATTGATTATTTCTCTTTTAATTTCTTTTTTATACATATTGAAATATTTATTTATAGAAAAAGTTTAATGATCATTCTATTTCAGTGATTAGAATCGTCTAGGTTTTGTCTAGAAAGATATATGATGACAAAGTGTGTCAATATAGTGGAAATAAAGCGAAGATTACGGAGTCGAGTACCCAAATGAAGAGACTAAGGAATGAGTTTTTGATCCTAATAATGGCTGCTCTTTTCCTTGGAATGGTCAGTGCTTTCGATTTTTAACTTATCTGTGGGTAGAGAATTTTAATGAATTTATATGTTTTCCTTTGCATTTTAGTGTTTTTAGGTGATTAGAGCTGAACATGGAGAAGTTTTTTGGACTTTTAGACATGTTGGACCTCTCAAGGTTGATGTGGTAAGTAATTTATGGAGTTATATATGTAGTGGTCAAATTGTTTTTATGTCTGTCGAATTCAATTTACTGGTTATGCTATAACTTACTACTGTTAATTTTTACCCCAAGTAGGATTTTTTGAAAGACAAACTGCAAGAAGATTTTCTTGGCCACTTTGATCAATTGAAGTGATTAGCAATTACGAGCTTGGTTATATCCAACAGTTCACTGCCTAAATACAGAATTCATATAGAAAATGCAATCTAGAAAATTCATTCAGGTATAGTGTATAGCTTGAAATGCAATCTAGAAGGGTAAATCGAGTGACTTTTTCTTTGTTTTAAGTATTGACAGATGCTATTGAGCAACTGTCCACAAAAGAACTAATACAAAGTACTTTAAAAAGAGAGAACCATGTTATGCAGTGTGCCTAATTAGTGTACGTATGGCCAGTATGTGCATGTGTGCGTTTGAGTGTGTATGTGACTGTGTGAGTGAATGTTGTGCAGTGTGTCTAATCAATGTGTGTGTATGCAGTGAGTGAGTATAATGTGTGTGAATATTTAATTAGCTCGCAAAGTTTGTTTGTTCAATCCTTTGTTTGTTCCTGTGAATTTTGATTGTAATAAGCATGTCAAATTGCTATGGATTTGCTTTGTTTGTGAATTTCGGAAATTTGGATCGTCGGAGGGAGCAATTGGGCCGTTGGCTTTTTGAGGTATATTCAGTTACAATAATTTTGTTACTGTATTGTTGAAATTTTATTACCATATAATTGTGATTTTGTTACCCTTATTTTTGGTATTTCTCCTCTGTGAAATCGAGAATTGGGCCTCAAATTTTGGGGCATTCTCTAATTTTTGTGATATTTGCTGTGTATTTTGGTGCATGCTCTAATTTTTGTGATGTGAGATCCTTATAAGCGCCTCTAAACATTGATAATTTGTTTTGTTGATTAGTCTTAATGCCAATACCTTACCCTAAGCTAGGCATCACAACATCTATAATTCTTTAATTCATTTATGAGAGCATTTTTGTACTGCTGTGCTATCGTTATTGTTTAATACACTACATAATTCGAATTTTGATATAAGTTTTCATTAGAATTTAGACCCTTTGTTATGATCAATAAGGTATTGTTTTTTGAAACGAAATGATGTATTGTTTTGGTCAAAGATGTATTGTTAGAATTACATATACACCTGTGATTTAAATACCGTTGAATATTTAATATGCATTTGCAATTATTTTGGTAAAGAAATTGAAAAGGAATGTAAAGGCCTATTCCTTTTGAGCTGGGTTGCCTGCACCTCTTATCATTTCCTTAGATTCTAACTTGCATTAGTTATTGGATCACCCGATACGTCAAAACCATCACTTTCTATATCACTTAGTGGTTTATTCACTTTGTGGATAGCTTCTTCTCTCCAATCTATAGGCTCCACTTGGAATCAACATTTTTGGTATGTAGTATTCTGAAATGCATTCCTTAAACCCCATTGTTTGATTTGGAAGATTATCATGTCAGTGTCTCTGCATATTATGATCATTAAATTGTGCTGCAACTTCAGATACAAAAGGGTCCTCATGATGTGGATGCAATTTCAGTTTGTTCTGTTAATGGTTAAGAAGACATGAATCACATGTATGTAAATATTGCATATCGTATATACACGTGGAACTTTTGACATGTTTTATATGGTTTAAAAATCCGCAGCATCGCGCGGGCACCATCACTAGTGTGATTCTAACATAGGGATCTCACCAAGAGCCCAGCAGAAGATGATCATAAATTTCAAACAGGAATTGAATAGAATAAATTGTAGAAGCTCAGATGTATAATTTGCTGAAGCACTTCACGTGGAAATTGAGTTCAATATCCATATACTCGCTGGCGGGCCTTTAAACTATTTGAATATCTAAGAGAGAAAAATGGAAAGCAGCAAATTTCCAGGGCAAAAGGAACTTCAACTAATTGACCGTATGGCAAGTAACAGCTATGTTCAAATTTTCCCTAACTATTTGAGATTTTACCATCTCGGTGACGAAAAAAAGTAGAGTGAAAAGTAGGTACAACAGAATACCTCATGTGACAGCTCTGGGCTTTTGAGCAGTAGAACGTGGAATAGCCAAGATGGCCACCAGGCCGCTCGCTAAGGATGCAACTGCTGCCACGGCAAAGGCTGGTGCGTTTCCACCACCAAATAGCTGATCCCATGGTCCACTTCCTAGTGATACGACCACCTGTTCTCAAAAAACAAATATTCATGATCAAAACCAATATAACAAAGATGATAACTGTTATTCACAGAGAAGTCCATGGGAGTTCAATCAATATAACAAAAATGATTACATGCGATATTATACACTAATCTACCATACTAAGGGAAGGGAGGAGGGTTTGAACCCGAGATGCAATGGGTTGAAGAGGAAGGCCCTAACCAACAGTGCAATCTACCACTTGCAATTATCGAGTAACTGTTAAAATAAGGGAAAATAAATACGATTTTTTTCAAAGCATGCTCTTCAACTCAAGCATCGATGCTTTGCATAAGGCACCAACCCATACCTGAACAGTTGAACCATCACATCCTAGTAGCAGCAGTTTAAGGGGTTTTGTGAAACAGGGTATTGTTTCTTGGGTTGTGTCAGTAATTCGTCCAAAAATGTGATGGTAGAAAACAATTTCGACTATGTTTCACATAATAGAACAATGGAAAGGTACAGAGCTTAAAATCGATTCTTCGTAATCAATCAATTGGTTGGCGACTGCAAGTCCCAGGTGAGGAGATGCTCAACATGAAAAGGTGGTGCTTATTTTCAGAGCTAATAGGCTTGAAGAAGCAAACTCATATGTGTGTATATACATTGAATACATAGAAGGTGGTGCTACGGGAAGAGGAAGACGAAACAACAACTTAGCCAGTGGTAATTAGGAAATATATCAAAACATATGACTTAAAATGAAAATTTAACCAATGATAGGATATGACAAAGAATTAGGATGCATATAGATAACCCCAAAGTTGGGACAAGGTGCAGGTGTAACATATGTGCATGTATCGCTTCACGTTTGGTTGATTATTGTAGAAGTGTAATATAACCTTATACCAGTAATGCATTTCACGTTAATTTAGTTTCTACACAGAAGCGCACATATGCATTGCTAAAAGGAAAATGAGTGTTCTTACCTGTGGGATTACTATTGCCAGATTCAGTACGCCCATTGATAAACCTACAAGAACCAAACATCAATGTAAGAAGTCCTACAGCTATATCTCCAAGGAAAACTTTTTAACCACACCACCTTCTGTAAAAGAAATTCCCACCTTGGCCAAGTCCCAAAGACTCAATTCGAGAAGAAACCAGAGCATATGGAACACTGTATGTGATCTGCAACAAATATTCTGGTAATTTAAATTTGGTTCATAGACCAAGTTCATACACAAAGCATAGTCAATCCATAATAATTGTGCAGTGAAAGACCTCCAAAAACGATAACTTTCAAATCCATCCAAAATGTTCCAAAAACAAAAGTGAAAGGGATCAATAACTTTCAAATCCACCCAAAATGTTTCAAAAACAAAAGAGAAAAGTGAAGGTGACTTTTCTTTGAATAAAAAAATATTACTAGATAGGTCAAATTCTTACAGAGAAGATCCCAACTTGACACCCCCTCCCCTCTGACAGCAGCATATATTCTGAAGTAATTTGATATTCTTTTGATGTAAAATTGCTATTATAGCATGCTTGATCAATCATTAGTTACCAAAAGCTAAAGATTGATTGTAAGCACTCTGCTCACAAAATTTAAACCTGTTTGCCTTCTAACAGTGAAATATACATTGCCAAATAGAACGTATGCATTGCATTCAACCAGAGATATAAGCTTACCGCCAATGGAACACCAAGAAGTGCAAAAATAGCCAGTGCAGCTATCACAATGCCAACTGGAGGTAAATCATGGCCCGAAATGCCAATACTTTTGTTCACAAATGTAATAACAAG